CCAGACCACCCCAGTAAGTGCCTGGACCAGGTCCCACCAAGCGACCCAAGATCCTGAACGCCTCTGTCCTCACCATGGGATGGCAGGACCTGAGGACATTGGCCGGGTTCCTATCCCTCTTTCCCTTCGAGACCTCCCCCAAGTCAAAACACAACAGGAGTCCTTTCCTGCTGACCCCACTACCTAGGTCAAAGAAGTTGGGGACCTTCCCCAAGCCTGTGACCTCACCTGGCATTATGTCCCTGTCACCCTCACCTCCACCCTCACCCCTGATGAGCGCACTTGCGTCCAGGTAGCAGCACAGGGCCACACAGACCAGGCTCACCTGAGTGACCACACGATACCAACAGGCGCGGTCGGGGTCCCCACACCAACCCTGAGTGGACCATCAAAATGAGGAGGGCAGAGGCCGCTGTATCCAGATGACACAGGGTCTACTGGCAGGCGTGGTGACACTTCTAATAAGGCTGTCGATCTGATACAGTAAGAGAAGTCACTCGGGGCCTGATTGCAACCCCACGATGACCCTTACCCACGTCACAGAGGCCCTGGATCTCTGCCCTAGGTTAGACCTTGCATCTCCCTCTGGACGATGGTTCCAGCCCCTCGCTCCATCACCCGGTCAGCCCCCAGTGTCAGAAAAAAGCTGCAGCAGGCTGAGGATGGTCCCCAAAGCCCCATGCGAGATCTGGTGTGGTGGCCTTTAAAGTTTATCATGCCCATGAGGACACAGCTGGACTCAGCCGGCAGACCCGCTTACAGAAGGAGGTGGCACCCCAGACACAAGCCCTGGTGGCAGCTCTGTGGCCAGCCCTGGCCCCCACCGGGATCCTCAGAAGTGTGCCCCACCCAGGGCCTGCTTCAAATGCAGACAAGATGACTACTGGGCACGCCAGAGCCCTAACTCGCAGCCCCCTCTTGGCCTGGAAGAGTCACTGCCCCCTGGCCAGTCCCTCCCTGGCACCTCAACGTGGGCATATGGCCAGAAAGATGGTCCCTCCTCTTGAGCTTCTGGGACTGGCTGACGACTGAGGCAGCCTGGGCCCCAGGACCCCCATAACCCTCGCCGGGCCCAGGGTGCTGCTTCCGGTAGAGGGACACAGGGCTACCCCTTGTGTCCTGCCTGCCTACTCCGGGCCTTTATATCCCTCTCAGATCTCGGTCATGGGGTCAGACGGGACACCCTCTTTCCCAAGCAAAATGGCCACTCTGACACACTCCTTAAAGGGACATCCCTTACCCACTCCTTTTTAGTTGTCCCTTCCTGTCCTCTGGCTCTCACCCCACGCCCCTACTGCCCCACTCCCCCCACCTTGATTCAAAACAATGGACCTCAAATCCCGAACTTCCCCAAAAGATGTCCCCACCAGCAGGAGTCAGATGGGAACAGGGACCTACAACACCAAAGAGGTCGGGATGTTGGGTGGACAGCTGTCCTTGTCCCTGCCCTTCCATGGTGGCTCCTAAGCTCGAGGACTTTATACCTGACTAAGGAGACCCAAAATGGCCGATCAGAAGCTGACATGGCAATGAATCCCAAGGACTCTGACGTGCCCCCCCTCGCCTACTCCCATCAGCCCACCCAACCCGCGACAGACACGCTGCCCCAACTCAGCTGCCCCAACTCTGCTCGATCAACCCGCTGTCAGAGGGCAATTTAGAGGCCTGGCCTCCCACTGCCAGGTCCCCCACCAGCCCTGTGCTGCCTGTCCCACCCTGACTGCTGCTCTGATCCTCGGCCTTTCGCAGACCAGTGGGTCTCACAGGGAGAATCCCCCAGTAAATCTCCTTGGGCCGCCTTATTAAAAATAAATATTAAAAAAAGACACATTTAACAAAATGCACATCAGAGTTTTCCAGCATATTCACTTTACGCAATGTAAGATGTTGATGCAAAGTAATTCTACATTTTGGGAAATGGCTCAATAAGAAGCAAAGTAAATAGAATTGCAAACACTGTTTTCAGAAAATTGTTTCTATTTTAAGATATGGAAGTCACCACCCAGTGCAGTGGCACAGGCCTGTAACTCGGCTTGGGGAGGATTGCCAGTCAAAAGCCAATCTTGGCAAAGACGAGGTGCTAAGCAACTCGGTGAGACCCTGTCTCTAAATAAAATACAAAAATGGGGTGCAAACGTGACTTAGGGGTCAAGTGCCCCTGAATTCAATCCCCAGTACCAAAAAAGAAAAAGAAAAAAAAGGTATGGAAGTCAATTGATACATATGGAATGAATCATTACAAATCAGTTAATTGCTAAAAACAATGAAGTTCAAGTAGAATCCATAAATGTATCCAAAGTCTTTGGATACCCAGTGTATCCAAAGACTTACACTGAAAACTCGCAAGTTACCCCTCTGGGTGTGGGTGTGGGTGTGGGTGTAAGTGGGTGTTCGTGTATAACACAGGGAAATCTTTTTTTCCTACGTTTAAAATTTTCTTTAAATAACTCAAGCATTTTAAAATATATGACTTATAATGTTTTATACATAACACTTTTCTCCGGTTCTTAATTTTCACCTTCTTTTAGACTGATTTTAACTTCCCTTTTTTAATTTATTTATTCTTTTTCGAGATGATAGTAGTGTGTATTTGAACATATATACAACAATGGAATATTACTCACCCACGAACAATGGAATCTTGGCATTTACTGGTAAATGGAACTGGAGAGTATCATGTTAAAAAAATAATCCACTCCCCAAAACACACACACAATGTCGTTTACAACATATATCTCTCATGATACAAACAAGCTCCCCTAAGATCCAGGGCTCTTCTCCCTCCACCCTTCCCCATTCATTCCAGCATCCCCACCCCCACCCACATCCACCCTGCATGCTGGCCCCCCCCAGCACCCCGGTTTGTGCCCTATGATCACTGTGGCACCATCCAGGCACCCCCATAAGCACCCTCATGCCTCAACCACCATGTGCTCCCCCCACGGCGTCAGCTCGCACCTGCACCTCCCGCTCCCTGCCCTCTGGAGCCTCCCGTACCTGCAGCTCTCCTTGCGGGGGGCTCCAGGGGAAACGTTCTGGGACGGCCACCAGGAGCACTGTGGTGCAGGCCAAGTGTTCAGGGTGGGTGGGCCTGGCGTCCTCGCTGGGCACCCGGGGAAGTTGGAGGGTCTCCCTCCCTGGAGAGTAATGAAGATGGGATCATAACGCGGCTGGACCTTAGGGAGCACAGAGAAGCCCTCTTCTCCACCTCCAGGCGGTCTTCTCTACACCCACGGAGATGGGGAGGCTCTCAGCACTGGGTGAGTCTGTGCGTGAAATGGGGCTATGCCTAAGGGGCGTGCCTTGCTTGGGGCGGAGCCATAAGAAAATCTGCATGGGGCGGGGCCATGTCACAGGGGCGTCTTGCATAAGGCGGGGCTATGCCACAGAACCTACACGGGGCGGAGCTATGCCATAGAAGACTCTGCATGGGGCGGGTCCATGCCACAGGGGCGTGTACTGTGGGTAATGGGAAAGAATAGGGAAGAATGACCCAGCAGGGGATGGCCTCAGCACCCAGGGGCGGGTCCTATGAAGCCATGGAGCCCTGAGGGTGGGCAGTAGATGAGGCCTAGGGATACCAGGGCCTGCAGTGCTCACCCTGTGCACCAGAGCTCAGGCTGTGTCGTTTGATACCAACACGACACTCCTGCATCCTTCCTCTTTCATGCTATGAGTCCTCGATTTAAAGGGGAGTCTTTAGAGACAGTTTGTAGTGAGATTCTAAAGTCATCTTTTCAGTCTGTCTTTTGCTAAGGGAGTTCAACCAATTTTCATTTAATTGGTAGAGAAAAAAATAACTTGCAAGTTACTACTTTAAGGAAAAACAAAACTACCTGCAGATAAAGTTCAGAATGTCATTTTTAAAATACAATAGGGCCACACAGTTAATAAGGGAAGTGAATCTATAATCCCCAGGCTGCCCTCTGCTTACTACACCCCTCCGACTTGGAGCCAGTAGCCCCACCCCCAACTCTCCCTCCCCCACATCCAGCCCCCAACTCTCCCTCCCCCACACTACCCCACCATTTCCAGGCATCCCAATGACTCTCCAGCCAGGGGCCCCCACACACAGCACCCGTGTCCTACCTGTGGCTTTCCCCGTGGGGCTCCAGGGGCAACACTCCAGAATGGCCACCAGGGGCGCTGTGGTGCAGGTCATAGGGTTACGGTGGGTGGGCCTTTTGTCCTCCCTGGGCACCATAGAGAGGATGGCAGTTCAGCCTCCTTGGAGGTCAGCAAAGATGGTATGAAAACAGCCCAGGTGGTGGACAGAAGGAGGGACCTTAGGGAGCACAAAGGAGGCTACCCAGGAGCCAAGAAGCGGCCTCCTCTATGCCCACGGAATCACGTGGCACTGGGGGAGCCGGAAGTCCTCTGCTTGTGCGAGCGCCTGTATATGGGGCGGGGCTATGCCGAGGGGCGGGGCTATGCCGTGGGGGCGGGGCCTTCAGGACTCCGGCAGGAGAAAAATGCAGGGAAGCCTCACCCAGTGGGCTACAGGAATCACGTGGCACTGGGGAGCCAGAGGTCTTCAGCAAGTGCGTGCCTCAGTACGTGGGGCGGGGCTATGCCATGGGGCATGGCCTGCGGGAATCTGGCAGGGGGAAAAAGTGCAGGGAAGCCCCACCCAGGGGGCTGGACCCAGGGGATCAGCGTTGGGTCCCTAGACAATGAGTCTTTTGCTTAGTGAGTTCAATAAATTTTCATCTAATTGATAAAGAGAAAAAATAACTTGCAAGTTACTCCTTTGGGACAAAACCCCTCGCAGATAAGGGTCGGATTATCACCTTAAAATACAATATAGCCACACACATTTAATAATGCAAGTAGGCGCCTCTATAATCCCGGTGCTGTGTTCGGCTCAACACACTCCTCCCCCACCAGACTCCCCACCCATCCCCCCAACCTCTCCCCATACCTCCCCCCTCTACCCCTCTCAGTCCTGGTCCCCGAATCCTCTCCAGCCAGGTCCCACCCTGCACCCTGGGCTTCCCTACCTGTGGCTCTCCTCGCTGCTCCAGGGGAAGCAGTCCATGATGGCCACTAGGGGCGCTGTGGAGGCCCAGGTGGTCAGGATGGCAGGACCAAGACTAACCCTGAGCACCGCGGGGAGGTGGCGAGGACGGCGGCTATGCCTTCCGGGAGGGTGGCAAAGATGGCAGTGACCTCTATGCTGGGGGAAATCACGTAGCTCAGCAGGAGCGAGGCCATCCTGCGCATGTGCATGCGGCTGTGCGTCAGGGGTGGGGCCATGCTGTGGGGCTTTGTTGGGTCGTGGCTTTGTTGAGGCGGGGCTTGGTTGGAGCGTGGCTTGGTTGGGGCGTGGCTCTGGTTGGGGCGTGGCTCTGGTTGCGGTGTGGCTCTGGTTGGGGCGTGGCTCTGGTTGGGCGTGGTCTTAGTTGGGCATGGCTTGGGAGTACGCCCCGGATCAGAGTTTAAAAGGAGAAAGTCCAGCAACCCTAGACCCCTGCAGGAGTCCGTGACTGAGAGCTCAGTGACGTGTCCCTAGGGAGGTCACAGAGCGGTGACAATGGGTAGTGCATGAGGCCCAGCAAGACCAGGGCAGGCAGAACTCATCCCGTCTGCCCTGGCTCAGGCTGGGAGGCCCTGGGAAGGGTCCTCTGGGCTATGTGGGGCTGTTGGGTGCAGTCACCCACCATCAGGGTGCAGGAAGCCTGGGCCACTAGGAACCTCCAGGCTCCACTGGCTGCTGGCCCTGCCACCAGGTCCCTGATCAGACGATTCTTGCAGGGAATTAGGGTGAAAGAGAGTGTTTGTGATGCTTAGGGTGGTAATGAACTTGAGGTAGGTTCCTAGTTGAGTTGGGATTAGAACATTTTAGGACATTGACGTTAGGTCATAAAATCCTATTAACTTTGAATAATTTGGGCTGGGGTTGTGCTTAGAGGTAAGTGACTAGGAATTAGGGAGGAAGGTTGGGGAGGGGACTCAGTTGACAGCTCCCCAACTTAGGAAGTGCAGCCTCCACCTAGCTCCCCAGCCCAGGGGCAGACACCTTCTCTGTCCCCAATCACTCAGTGTTCCAACTCCATATGGTGAGTGATTTCTTGAAATGGCCTGAGGACACCAGGACATGACTAGTGCCCCTCGTAACTCAGGCTTCTGGTTGGCTATGAGCAGAGAATTTTAAGTAGAATGACCTCCTTCCACTGTGTGAGCAGGGGCAGTCCCCATCTGACCTGTCCACACAGCTAAGCTTTGGGACACATTCCTGAATCCTTAGTCTGCCACTCCCAGGTGGCTGAGCAAATGTCCACTCAGCCACAGGCTTTGGAAATCTGAAGCTTTGGAAATCTGTGTCTTATGGGCTGGGGGTCAAGGGAAATGCTTTGCAGCCTAGATCCTAAATGGATTTCATGGAGATTGCCTCAGGTTGTCTTCTTAAAAGCAGATTGGCCTGGGTAGTGGATTGGAGTTAGGGTCCGATGCTGCCTTTGGAGACAGAAGTCAGCTTGGGCAATTTCCCTTAGAGAGTATTTTGGGTTTGGTTAGAAAGTTGGGCTTGGGTGAATGATCATGTTAGGGTAGGATTAGGTGATAATGCAGTTTGCCGTCATTGGGATCATATCTAGGGATTCTGTTATGTGGTGTAGGGTTAGGTTTTTCTATTGGGTTTCCGGGATTCCGGTTGGTGTTGTTTTTAGGAATAAAAATGTTTGTCTTTCAGTTGGGATGAATGAGATGGTGAGTGTCTGTAGTTATCTTTTTGTTTTGTTTTGTTTTTTGGTTTATTTGGTTTGGTTAGGTTTGGTTTGGTTTTTGGTTGGTGTAGCTTTTGGTTTTAGACTTGGTACTTTGTGTGAAGGGTTCATCTATAGAATGTAGTATAAGAATTCTTCCTCTTAAGATTTTTTTTTTTGCGGGGCTGGGGATGTGGCTCAAGCGGTAGCGCACTCACCTGGCATGTGTGTGGCCCGGGTTCGATCCTGAGCACCACTTACAAACAAAGATGTTGTGTCCGCCAAAAACTAAAAAATAAATATTAAAAATTCTCTCTCTCTCTCTCTCTCTCTCTCTCTCTCTCTCTCATCTCTCTCTTTAAAAAAAAAACGATTTTTTTGCCTTATGGGTTGGGGGGGTGAGTGGTAAGAATTTAGGGGCTACCAAAGTGGGGGTTAGTGTGATGGTGAGTGTTCATTTGTGGGGTGGGTCAGGTTCGGGTTGGATACGAGACAATGTGTGAATGGTTATTGTCCATTGTATATGGGATCATGTCATGGTTAGTCTTAGCTTCTAAGATTAGGTGAGGTGCCCTGTGTATGGGTTAGGAAAATGAATTCAGGTTTAGGATGGTGTTTGATAATAAGGTATTTATTTTTTTAGTTGCAGATGAGCACAATACCTTTATTTTATTTACTTACTTTTATGTGGTACTGACAATCAAACCCAGGGCCTCACACATGCTGGGCAAACACTCTATCCCTGAGCCCCAGCCCCGGCCCCTCTTAACTTATTTTTGTGTGTTGAACTGTTCTAGAATTCTGCACATAGGTCCTACGCAATCTTATTTAATTTTATAAATGAGAAAGGGGTAGCAAGGGGTCAGGGGCTAGGGGGTCAGTAGATGAGGATCTTGCACACATTCTGAGGCCCAGTCTATGTGCCAACCACCAGGGATGGTCAGCACCCACTTCCTGTGGACACTCAAGGGTTCAGTCTCCCAGGAACACCTGAGTCATCCCACGCTATGGCAGGACTTGGTTGGTTCCTCCTCACCCCAGGGTCTTCTTAGGGCTCTGCCCCAGGGCTCCAGACCCACAATCCAGCTCTCACCAGCTCCCTGAGAACAAGGAAAATACATTGGAGCAACTTCCTGTTGGAGTGGACCTGAGAGAAGACACCCTGGCCCCTAGGAAGTCACATCTGTGTATGCAGTAGGAGTCAACTCAGTGTACTCCAGATCCCACACCACAGTCCAGCTAACTCACTGGATGAGGTGGTGCCTGCCATGATACCAGTGGCATGGGAGGCTGAGACAGAGGATCACAAAGTCGAGGCCAGCCTCCACATTTTAGCAATGCCCTCAGCAACTCAGTGAGGCCCTGTCTCAAAATAAAAAATAATAAGGGCTGGGATGGGGCTCAGTGGTTAAGCACCCCTGGGTTCAATCACTAGTACAAAAAAAAAAATAGACTCAAGGCCCTCAACTAAGCTGGGGACATCCTTGGAAACAGGTGAGTTTTATCTACGAATAAGCTTACAAGGGGTTCTTACCGATGCACCTGTTTTAGCTCAGCCTCTTGTCATGCTGCATGCAATCAATCCATCGTCACTTGCTTTATAATATTATTTTTAATATTTTAAAAATTTAATAATATGCTTTTTAATATTATTTTAATATTTTTAATATTATTTGATATTTTTGGGGGTGCTGGGGATTGAACTCAGGGGCTTTCAACCGCTGAGCCCCATCCCCAGCCTTTTTTAATTTTTTTAATTTACAGACAGGGTCTTGCTAAGTTTCTCAGGGCCTTGCTAAACGGCTGAGGCTGGCCTCCAACTTGTGATCCTCCTGCCTCAGCCTCCTCAGCCTCCGGGGCCTGTGAGTTCTTGACCTGGTAGCTGGGGTTGTGGCTCAGTGGTAGAGTGCTTGACTAGCATGCGTGAAGCACTGAATTCAATCCTCAGCACCACATAAATGTAAAATAAAGATATTGTGTCCACTTAAAATTTAAGAATAAATATTTTTTAAGAAAAAGATCCATCAACAACTCAATAATATTTTTAAAAACTTTGTTTGAAGAGGAAATGACTTACTCCAGGGTAAGTAACACCTTAAGATAACACCTTGATAAAGAGACACTAATTCTTTTTCCCTCTTTTCTGGACTGTTGTTTCAAATGAAAATTGAGTAAACTTTGCCAAATACTCCTGATCTGCCAATTAAAATTCCTCACAATGATGAGTATTAATTTGTGCAACACTTGAGAGCTATAAAATATTTATTAAAGTATGATATCCTTTGCTTTTAGAACTTTTTCCCCTTGGTCAGAGACACTGATGACTTAGATGACCAGGCTTGATTTTTCATTAATAATCTAAATATACATGACTAGAGATATGTATACATCTGGAACTAAATATTATTTATTGGAGTCTTATCTAAATGTTCCGTAAATATTTATAAAATGAAAGTTGATATAGATTTAATCAATACATTGCATTGGGCATAAAGGGCCACACTGCCATTTGAAAAAATAAATTATTTTTTTAAATACTTATTTTTTAGTTGTACTTGGACCTAATAAACTTTATTTTATTTATTCATTTTTATGGGGTGCTGAGGATCGAACCCAGGGCCCTTGCTCATACTAGGCGAGCACTCCACGGCTGAGCCACAATCCCAACCCCCTAAAATTTATTTTTTAATATTTATTTTTTAGTTGTAGTTGGACACAATATCAGTCATTTTGCCACTAGAGTCATAGATCAATATTAGCTGATAGGTTAAAATAGATGCAGACAAGGTTAAATCAATATAGTGCGATCAATTGTATTAGCTTGATCACGTATACATAAGGCTCATAGATATCAGTAGTAAAATAATGAGTAAATGAGGTCCCTGCAAGCATTAAATTAGTTACTAGTACTGGGGTCACGGGAATGGAGTCACTGTGGCTATATGAACAGGACCCCATCTTAGCTGTTCTAGATGATTCTGTCTTACTCTTATGGCTCCTGTGGAGACAGAGCTGCGGAACCCACGTCTGGAAACAGAAATGAAAGCTGTCTTCCCTTAAAAAAAAAAAAAAAAAAAAAAACCTGTCTTTCTGTACATGGTACCCCACCGAATCTCCCCAACTCAGGACATGTTGGTGGTCCTGGTGAGCTGCATCCTAGGTTTGAGGACATTTGTGGGTCCACATCAGGATACGGTTGTCTAACACTTGCTTGGGCCCAAGATGCCATGAAGCTAACTTGCTAAATTGCTGAGGCTGGCCTCCAAATCACAATCCTCCTACCTCAGCCTCCCAAGTCACTGGGATGACAGTTGCTGGGATTACAGGTATGTACCACCACGCCCAGCAGGATGCTTTATTCAAGACCTATTTTACCCAGGTTTTGCTCCATGCTCTGCTCTATCTCTTCTCACTTAAACAAATCCTACTCTGCTTACTCTTCCCCTTCTGGGAGGGTCCCTGGATTTCTTTTTTCAAAATTTGCAAAACAAGAAATTGGCAAAGAGTGCCATCTAGTCTCAACTCCAAACTCTAGTTTCAATACTATCAAATTCCAAATGAACTAGAGTCACCACAAGCCCTGCACAGAGGGCTGGAGGGACAGCAGCAGCTTATGCTAACCCCCTCTGTAAGGTCAGAAGTCCAGATTCCAGAATTTAGTGTCTACCCAGGGAGTCTGCAAAAATTCACTCTTTCCAGGTGCAGCAAAGTTTTTAAAAATAAGCTTTCCCCTCCCCCTCCACTGCCTTCCCAAATGCTGCTCCTAGGGAGGTGCTAAGAAACCCTGAGGAGCCAGGCCACAGGGGGTCTAGGTCCTTGTTCGTGATGCCAATCCAATAACAAGGATGTTATTGTTGTTGTTGTTGTTGTTGTTATTATTATTATTATTATTATTATTTTGTCTGTTTTGGTACCAGGGATTGAGTCCAGGGGTGCTTAACCCCTGAGCCCCCGTCCCCAGCCCTTTTCATATTTTATTTAGAGACAGGGTCTCTATGAGTTGCTTAGGGTCTCACTAAGGAGGCTGGCCTCCAACTTGTAATCCTCCTGCCTCAGCCTCCCAAGAGGCAGATGCTCTATACCAACTGAACTAATATCCCCAGCCCCCCAAAATTCTTTTTTGGGGGTGTTATCAGGAATTGAACTCAGGGGCACTCAACCACTCACCACATCCCCTACTTGTTCTCTTAGAAATTGACTAGGCCCTTTTATCAGCGCTGGGGTTGGGATGCTCAGGCCCCGCCCACAGGCCGAGGCCACGCCCATAGACTGAGCCCCGCCCCCACAGCCGAGACCACTCCCCCACTGGCCCAGGTGGAGACCTCTGTGGAGGGCAGTAGGAGCCAGGCTCGTGCATGGTCCCGCCCACCCCTCACCCTATTGGACCTCGGACCCGCACTGGCAACGCCCCCTCGCAAGCCCCGACCCCGCCCTGCAGCGGCTCCCAACGGACAGGCACCAGGAGCCTGTAAAGCCTTGCTGTCCCGAGCTCTGGATGGCCGCTGGGTCCAGGTGGCAGGGCGGGAGCAGGTCCCCACTGCTTCTGTTTCTGTTCCCTGCTGACCCAGCCTGGGGAGCTGCTCTGCTCCCCTGGGCACCTGTGGGGGCCGCCTGAGGATGCCATGGTCACCAGCCTTCACCCAGTGCCATCGGGGCCGTGGTGGGACAGGGTGAAGAGCAAGAAGAGTTAGGGAAGGCTCCAGGGTGAGCCAGGGAGGGACCATGGCTTGGATGCTAACCCTGTGACCAGGGTAGGACTCGGCTGCCCCCACCCCATCTCTGCTAGAGCAGCTGCAGGGATCAGGGGCGCCTGCTGCCCCAGGGTCACCTCCCTTCTGCAAGGCCACCAGGGGCTCTGTAGGGTGGGTCGTCCGTTTTGCTGCCCCTGAGGAGGGTAGGGTGGACAGAGTCACCTCCCCAGCCCTATTTTGCATTTTATTTAGAGCCAGGATCTCTCTGAGTTGCTCAGAACCTTACTAAGTTACCGAGGCTGGCCTCCAACTTTTCGATCCTCCTGCCTCAGCCTCCCAAGCAGCTGGGAGCAGCTGGGATGCCAGGCGAACGCCACCTCCCGCTGGGCTCTTGGTCAGTTTTGTCAAAGCAAGAACCTGGATTTGGGAAGGTGGACAGGAGTGCGTAAAGTGACACTTTCTGGAGCCACCTGGAGGAACGGATGAAAAGTTCCAGATTCCCAGGTCCCATCTGAGGTGTTGGATGGTGTGAAAACCTCGCTCAGGAGCTTCCTCCTGGGTCCTAAGGAAGGGAACCAGGGATAGCATACTGGATGGCTGGGCCACCATCTGTGTCCCCCTGCCTCTCTCCAGCCCAAGCTCAATGGCCCAGGAAGGGCTCTGAGCTTTGTTCTCAGGAGCAGGGGATCTGCCTGGAGGACCCAGCAGGAAAGAGGGGGTCCCCTTGAATTCCAGGGCTGGCTAGCTCAGCCCCTTAGCAAGGCCCTGAGCAGCTCATCCCATTTCAAGCCGGGCGCGACAACACACGCCTATGATCCCAAGCAGCTCAGGAGGCTGAGGCAGGAGGATGGCAAGGTGGAGGGCGGCAAACAACAGCAAAGCCCTGAGCAACTCAGCAAGACCCTGTCTCTAAATAAAATATAAAAAGGGCTGGGGACGGGGCTCAGGGGTGAAGCACTCCTCCTGGGGTGCCGGTGCCTGGGAAAACCGAGCATTCTTGTTTCAGTGTCACGATGTGAGTGAAGTGCTACCAACCTTTGGACACCAGTCGTTCCAAGCAGAAAGAGACAAGAGAATGAGTGTTCCCCCTGACGACGTATGGACAAGGCCAGACACGGTCACAGATCTGTGGACTGGCTGTGGCGGGCACCCTACAGGTTTTCGTGCCTGAGTCAGTCTCCACGACCCATGGAAGCTTCCAGAATCCTCTCACTGCTCCAGTGGCCAAGGTCCTAGAGACCAATGAGAGAGACAACCCGGTGGTTTCTGCCGACCTGGGACAAGGCCGCTTCTTGCCTTAATGTCACCCAGAGCCACTGTGAAGGAATTTCAAACAGCAGGTATATCAATAAGGCAGTGGTCACAGCTGGGTTTTTGTGTCCCCAAGGTCCAGGGAGCTCCTGGTTGGTGACCCTGGAGACTCATGGAGAGTTAGCTCGTTTGGTGGCTGGGTGGTTGTGGTCTGGCTTGGTTCTTTGATTTGGGGTTGTTTTGTTGAGGTTTTGGGGGGTTGGATTTGGGGTTCTGGGGTCCTGAGCTGTCCCCGTGGGTCAATGTCTGCTCAGGATGTGTAGCCGGAGTAGTATACAGTCATGACCAAGGGACAGGGTCTCTCGGCCACTTCCTCCTTGGAGGATGCCCTCACCAGTCACTACGAGGTTCTGAGGGACATCGGCCAGGACACCTTTGCCAACCGTGAAACTGGCTCAACAATATCGTCACAGGGACACAGGTGGCCGTGAAAGTTCTGCCCAAGATAGAGCAGGACTGACCCTTCATTTGCTCACAAGTGGACATCAGGAAGGCCCTCGAGCACCCCAACGTGGTCCAGATGTTTGAGGTCATCGAGATCTTGGGGGCTGTCCACGTTGTGATGGAGGACGCAGGTGGGGGGACCGCTGAGCCACCACGTCCCCGAGGCTGTGGGCAATGAAGGACGCAGAGGCCCAGAGAGTGTTCAGGCAGATGGTGAGTGCCGTGGGCCACCCTAAGGGCATCGGGCACAGAGACCTGAAGTTGGGGAATGTCGTCCTCGACGCCGGGGGACACTGTCAAGCTCTGTGACTTGAACCTGAGACCACAAGTTCAAGGCTGGACAGAAGTTCCACAGGATTTGGGGCACCCCGTCCTATGGGGTCCCCGAGCAGCTGAGAAAGCAGGTCCTGCATGGAAGGTACAACGTCCCCTCCCACCGGTCCCCAGAGGTGCAGGAGCCTCATCCTGCAGATGCTGACCATGGACCCCATGCAGAGGGGTCATGGGGCACCATGGCCCCCACGCAGAGGGGTCATGGGGCACCATGGCTGAGCCCAGGGGAGGACCAGGAGCCACCATGTCCATGCACAGAACCTCCCCTGGACCCCTCGATCATGAAGGTCATGCAGACCTGAGTGACACCTGGATGTCCCTGAAAGCCACAATGTTCAACGAAGCAATGGCCACGTACCTCATGCTTCAGTACCAGAAAACTTGGGGGCCAGCTGCTTGGTTCCACTAAAGCCCGTGAGGCCGGAGGTTGGGCCTCCACCCTGCCCCTCGGTCCTTTCCAGTGTCCCCATGCACCCCAAGAGGTCTGTCAGCGTGCCAGCCCTTGGCTCCACCATCATCCTGCCCGATGGACAGCCCCTGCTCATGGGGGACAAGCCACTCAGAAAGAAGGGCCACAGAGCCAGCGAGCCGGTCCTTCCCGAGTCTAGCCTGCAGTCGGGCACCCCCATGGCCAGCCTGGCTGCCCAGCTCCCCGGCTCCTGGTCGAGCAGTGACATGTTGGGAGGTGACCAGCAGGAAGCCCTCCCAGGGGTCCCCAGAAGAGAGCTTGGTCTTGGTCCAGCCACCCTGGGGTGACACGCTGGGCCCTGCCCACCACAGCAGCAAGGGCTATGGGGGACTGTCCAGGAGGATCGCTGCCTGCATGGCCCACGTGTGCTGCTGAGTGGCGGTCCCCAAGGCGGGCCCCAGGCTCCAAAACCAAGTGGCGCCAATGCACAGAGACCAGGCTGGTAGAAGGTTCCAGAACAAAGTGGCTCTGATGGACTCCGACAGCCGAGACCCCGCGAGGCCAGGTAGGTGCTGCGCAGTGGACCTCTCATCTCCCATACTCCATCCTGGATGTCGCTTTCCCATGGCTGGTCACTCCTGGGGACACGGAAGGCCTGGGAGGTCTAGGGACAGTGGATTTGATGAACTCTGCTGCTCATTGTCATTCCTGTCTCCTCAGGTGACACAGGATCTTCACGGGCCTGGAGGGAGGTGCAGCAGCCTCCTGCCCCCACCTGGAGGAGACACCAGGGACCTTCCCCTGGGTCCCCTGTCCCCGCCCTGCTCTGCCCTCACGCTGCAGGGTCCCTCACCCATTTCTGTTTCCCAAATCTCTTATAAATGGATGCTCCCAAGTGGGTCCGCACTCCCTTCTGTTCCTGGGTCACCGTAGAGTCACACTTTGGTTGGAGCAGCACATGGTGATGTCACACTGGGGGTGCGGGGAGGCAGGAGGGACTTTACCAGTGTCCCCCAGCAGCCACGAGGACTCTTCTGTGTGTGTCTGAGGGGACAGAGGGCTGAGCAGCCCCACGCCAGACCCTTTGGTATGACCTCCTGCTGCCGATGGCCTGGTGATCACTATCTAGGGTCTCCTTGACAGAAGAACTGCCTCCCCAGCCCTATTTTGTATTTTATTTAGAGACAGGGTCTCCTTGAGTTGCTTAGGGCCTCAGAAAGTTGCTGAGGCTGGCTCCACCTTGCTATCCTCCTGCCTCAGCCTCCTGAGCAGCTGACAGGCATGGGCCACTGCGCTCGGCTTCATTTGTTTCTTTTTAAATTCACTTTTTTTAAAAAAAAATTGTTCTTTTTAGCTCTCCATGATGACAGAGTACATTCTGCCATATCATACCTACACGGGGTGTGACTTCCCATTCCTGTGGCTGGACCTGCTGTGGGGTGTCCCTGGTCGTGGGTTCCTATGTGAATATAGGAAAGTGACGTCCCATTCATTCCACTGTCTCTCCCAGTCCCCTCCCCTCCCTTCCCTCCATTCCCCTGGGTCTCATCCAAGGAACTGCTGTGCCCCCTCCTCCTCATTGTGGGTCAGCGTCCCCATATCATAGAGAACATTCTGCCTTTGGTTTTGGGGGACTGGCTTATTTCACTCAGCATGATCGTCTCCAGCTCCATCCATTTACCAGCAAATGCCATCATTTCATTCTTTAAGGCTGCATAATATTCCACTGTGTATAAGGACCACATTTTCTTTATCCATCCACCTGTTGAAGGGCTTCTAGTTTGGTTCCCTAGCTTGGCTATCGTGAGTTGAGCTACCATAAACATAGATGTGGCTGCGTCCCTGTTGTGGGCGGATTTTAAGTCCTTTGGGTAGAAACCAAGGAGTGGGACAGCTGGGTCCCATTGTGGCTCCATTCTAAGTCTTCTGAGGAATCTCCAACCTGCTTCCAATTTTGCGTTTCAATCACAAATTAAACCCTGGAACTTCCACTTTAGAAGTCATGAACCCACAGTAACCAGCTGATCCATAACTTAGAGAAAAGTTTGGAGTCCCACTGTCCCTGGATGGCTGTGATCCACCAGAGAATAAAGCAGAATTATGATTGTCTTTTTGGGGATTTTTTAAAATTTTTGGTATCAGGGATTGAACCTAAGGGCGCTTAACCACTGAGCCCCGCCCCAGCCCTGTTGGTATTTTATTTAGAGACAGGGTCTTGCTGAGTTGCTCAGGGCCTCAGTTTTGCTGAGGCTGGCCTCCAACTTGTGATCCTCCTGCCTCAGCCTTCCGAGCCTCTGGGATGACAGGCGTGGGCCACCGCGCCTGACAACTCTACTGTTTCTGAAGGTATCCTCCTTCAAATTCAGGTGTTGCCAATCTGAAAGTATTAGGAGTATTATGTTCTGTATCAAAATGTCCACCATGGCCCATATGCAAAAAAAAAACTTGATCACTAGTCTATAGCACTATTGGGAGGCTACAGAGTCTTAAAGAAGTAGGAAGCGGTGGGGAGCTTTTGGGTCACTGTGGGTATGCCCTTGAGGGGGATACTGAGCCCTGGCCTCTTCCTCTCTGTTTTCTGGCTACCATAAAGTGAGCATCTTGCTCCACCATGAGCTCCCCACAGGCTCCAAATCAAACAGGGCCGCAGGACGTGGTGGCACACATCTCTAATCCCAGCGTTTTGGGAGGCTGAGGCAGGAGGATCACAAGTTGGAGGCCAGCCTCAGCTAACTCCCCTGATCAACTCTAATGGGACAAGGGACTCTAACAACACCTTTTCCTGTCCTAAGTCCTTCCCTTCCTGCCTAAGCCCCATAAAAAAAAAATATCCCAGTCCAGTGGAGCTCCCATGCTTAACAATTTAAGAGGTCCTAAGCAACTCAGCGAGACTCTGTCTCTAAATAAAATATATGAAGGGCTGGGGACGGGGCTCAGGGGTTAAGTACCCACCTCCTGGAAGAGGGGTGGCCTTCTATGGCATAAGGCCAAACACAGGTTGATGGGTACACACCCTGTGAAGGTGTACACTGGGCCTTTTTTTTTTTTTTTTTGGTACCAGGGATTGAAGTAGGAGCCCTCTACCCCTGAGCCCCGTCCTCAGCCGTATTCTGTATTTAGAGACAGGGTCTCCCTGAGTTGCTTAGTGCCTTGCTTTTGCTGAAGCTGGCCTTGAATTTGAGATCCTCCTGCCTCAGCCTCCAGAGCTACTGGGATGACTTTCATGTGCCATGGCACCCAACCCTACACTCATTTTTCACAGATGAGGAAACTGAACAACAACAACAACAAAAAGGTAAATTAGTGGCTCTCTATTACAGTACTTAGAAACTATGCCCTGGCCAGGCACGGAGGGACATGACTAGCTATAATCCCACTGACATGAGAGGCTGAGGCAGGAGGATCACAAGGTGGAGGCCAGCCTCAGCAACTTAGTGAGGCCCTGAGCAACTCAGTGAGACCCTGTCTCTAAATAGAAAATAACGGGGCTGGGGATGGGGCTTGGTGGTTGAACGCCCCTGGGCTCAATCCCCTGTAAAAAAAATAATAAAATAAAAAATTACATATTATATTAAAATATATAACAATTATATTAAAATATATAACAATTATATATATATTTTTCTTTGGCAGGGATAAAAAAAGAAAACGCCCATCTGCCTGCTGCAGGGCACCTTAGGCTGCGCGGGGCGCTGTGGGGACGCTGGGCCTGTCACCTGGTCACCTACCATAAATAGAAACGTGCACACACGCGGAACCCGCGTGCAAACTCAAGACAAAAACCATTTCCACAGCTGAGCTCCCTCCAGACCCAGCTAGGCCTTGAATTTTCCCTGCTTCCATGCTCTTTTTTTTCTTTTCCCCAGGCCTGTTCCTGGAGGTTACAGGAGAGAGGCAGGTGGCCCGGTGCTCGCGTCCCCAGGCTTCGGGGAGCCTCCAGGGCGCGCCCTGCGGCGTAGAAGGGAACCTCTTGGCGCCCTGCCCCCCCTCC